TTCGTGATTTGCTTCAGTGCATCAAGTTGCAAAACTACAAAACCTCATCTTTAAAACGACAACTGATCAGTTAGCCCAAAATCACCATTGCTACATTCCATTCCACTTTTAAGGCCTTCGTCCACTTCCAGAATTGTGCAGTTTTCGACAGCTACAGTCGCCTTCTCTCGACATCACAGGCTCAGTTAGGCAATACTCGCAGCTCTCCCGTTGGCCATATTCTCTGCTCATGAATGGAACTGTCGAATTGAGGAACACTTTGATTCTGGGTCTCTATCGGATTTCTTTATTCCGTGATGATACTTTGCCACAAACGATGTTGCTGCATGCTCCAGCACACTGTCTTCTAACTGCATCAATATCAATCAGGTTATCAATTTCAATCTGGTGGTGCACCTCTGTGGACACATCACCACCACCACCGCCAACCATACCACACATCCTGCCGTTCAGGTACCAGTACACTCAAACGCTATTGGCCACTCTCACTCTCCTTCCACATCAGGCCTTTCCTGAGTCCATCCTGCTGTATATTGTCACAAATTAGCCTTTCGTGAACCTGTCGGATCATATCCTACTAGGATTTTGTTCGTCTTTTCTGAAGTCTTCGGTTACAACCATCTTTCCACCTCGAACTGTCGTGTCCTCGCAGCCCTACACTCTCGACATTCTGATCTTAGAGCAAACACGATTAGCTGTAATCGGAGTATTCCACATCCTAATACAATGGAGACGATTTCGTAAATATGAGCTACCGTGGCATTTTTTTGCAAAGTATATTGTACTTCATTTGCTGAATGCCGTAGTTCGTGATTTGCCTTCTCAGTTAATCTGGATATTTCACATACCTACTCATTTCTATTCGTTCAGCAGTTCAAACGAGACAAGTCACACCAAAATCGGATTGAAAACCGGATCATTAGCTCATGATTGACACAGCAAATAGGGTGTCCCCTTGCTTTCTACAGTTTTCGCCAGCATTTCTGTCGGCAACACTGTGCTCTCTCGTTGCTTAGTCCACAAAAAGGTGTGCTGTGCGATCAAAAGCATTGTTGTGTGAGTGTAGCACACATCCACTTGATGTTGACATGTGATAACTGCAACGTGGGTTGAAATTCTTACGTAAAACGGGTTTGGTGTGAATTTTAAGTCGTCATTGCTTCGACACAATTGCACCGATGCAGTTAACTGGTATTATACCGGAGCAAAATAATTGGACACTTCACGTTAACGCTTGCTCTGGCAAATCAAAATTAAGTTCTTGGTCACTGATCACACAGTTGTGTGTGTTTAGCGATTACGTGGGGAAGTATCATAGCGTTTTAAGGTACCAATCAAAACTGACTGTTTCAAAATATTACCGCGCTTTTAATCGGGTCCCTAAGTCTGCATTTTCATGTCCATACGATTATTTACTAATTCTGTAAACACTAAAGTAATGCTGCAACATAATTGATATCTGACATCTGACAACACCGAACACCTGAACACAGACAATCGTGCCGTCGGCGAATTGCAGGCTCCCGCGAACTGACCTTTCCTAAATACTAGAAATGATCATTTGGTCTGCGGTGACTGGAGACATTAGTTGGAACAAATGTGCCTAACGCTGTACAACCTTGGTTGGATACCCAAGTTCTTACTGCTGGCCTGGTCCCAATTAGTGTGCACTTAATTTCATCGAAATTGGGGAAATAGGGTCAAGGTTATTTTGCTTTCACTTCTTTCCTGTCACTCTAATTCAACTACCTAAAATCACCAACAGTAATGTCATTGATCGAAAATCGAAAACATTGTCTCCACTATCACATCGTGTCCTTGGACAGAGGGCCTCCTGTGAGTCCAATTGATCGATCGGCCTCAGTGATTTCGAAAATCGGAAATTTGTGCGAAGAGATATATATCGTAAAAGAGGCTCTTTATGTCTGCTGCCTTTGAGTTCACATTTCTAGCCCTTTACGCTGCCGTCATCCATTTGAAACTTCCCACCCATTCATGGGTTTGGTTCTCAATGTAGCAAAAGTTCGATTTTTCGACCGATTTCACGATATGGTTGGAGTGTGTTGGCCGAGAATTCACCGTGACGGCTAACCACCATTGAAAGAGCTACATGCCCTTCATCGCGAACAGTTGCATTGCGCTTGGGTCGGTCAGTCTGCCACCACTTCCACACACTACCTTGCCGAATAGCTCCAAATGATGTTGAAAGTTTGGGAAAACTTAGCTCAGCGTGTGCAGCCAATTGGTTTTCCTGTTGAAACGACACAATCGTCCAATTCTCTCTCATTTTTTTCAGTTTGTTAGTCGAGTTTTGTTTCAAGATTTGTTTTATGATTATACAAATTGGCGCATGCTCCAAATAAAGCACTAGTTTAGTAGTAATGGCCTTCCGCATTTCTTTTAGATGAGTGAGGCCATTTGAGCTAGCACAACGAGAATAAATTTATGAAATCGTTTGATTTTTTGAGTTTTGCGCTGTCTCACGGGATTTGTTCTCCAGTCGCATGATTAATACACTTTCGTCGCATTCTTTGAAAATTATTCCTCAATCCTTGTTCTGAATGCCACAGTTCGTGATTTTATCGGCAGTTCAAACGCGCCAAGTTATGCCGAAATCGGTTTGGAATTCGTGTCAACCGAACACGATTGATGCGTCAATTCGGGTGTCCGCCTACTTTCTACTGGTTTTGCCAGCAATTTTTACCGTCAACACTGTGCTCTCTCATTGCTTGGCCTACAAAAAAGTTGCGCAGTGAGATCAAAGGCATCTTTGTGTGATTGTGGCGCACATTCATTTGATGTCGACATGTGACCACTGCAACGTGGGTTAAAATTTTGTTTCCACAACGAGTTTGGTGTGAATTTCAAAGCGCCATTGTTTCGACACGATTTCGCCAATGCAGTTAACTGGCATAAAGTAGAAGTAAAATAATTGAGCTCGCTATGGCTTCGAATCACTGTTTAGCGATTGTGCGACGAAGCGTCAAAGTGCTTTAAAATGCCCATCAAAACTAGCTATTTCAAAATATTGTCGTGCTTTTTACTACTTTTGTACACACAAATGCAACACTATGATATCGTTGATATTTGACATCTAACGACACCGAACACAGACAGTCGTCTCGATGGTAAGTTGCAAGCTCCCACTAACTCAATTTTCACCAATACCAGAAATATTTACCTGTCCTGTGGTGGTTTAAAACATTAGTTGAAACAATTGTGCCAAAGGCCGTAAAATCGTGGTTGGTTAACCGAAGTTCTTATTATGGGCCGAGTCCCAATTAGTGTACACTTAATTTCGCCAAAATTGCGAAAATATCGTCAAATTCATTTCGGTTAAAATGTTAACCGAAAATCGCTGTACACTCGTCAGAAAGAGTGCTCATTCTTACAACAACTCGTCATGCCTTGTTGATGAATGTATGCTTGGAGCTAAATAATTTGTTAGCAATTTGTTGCATTCAAAAAAAATAACTAACAATTATAATACAATATTTTACACCGTAACGGTCTGGTAAGATATTACGGGGTCAATTAAAAAATTTAAAAAAAAGCAATATGCATGTTCGTTAAATCGTTTTAAGTGGAATCTTTGTCCTCGCCTTCGTAGTCTTCTCCGAAGTCGGTACTAGAGTCTTCGAGTTTCGTGGCCGACAACCGATGAATCTGGATGGCCTGCATGAAGGCGAGATTGAAGAGGGAGAAGTAGAAGAAGCAGATGAAGAGGACGGTGAGTGCCAGGACGTAGACCACACCGACGAATCGATTGAGGCCTCCCTCGTCACCACAGGACACTGCCAGTGCCACATTGACTGCTCGGTAGGCCTCCTCACAAGGGAAGAGTTCCTGGGTGAGGTGCGAGAATGCCACACCACCGTCCTTCTCCATGAAGTCAAGCAGTTCTGTAGTCACCTTGTCATACTGCTTGTCAACTTCACCTATCAACGCAGATTCATCTTTGGCAGCCTAAATTGCGTTAATGAACCTGTGGTAGGTGCATTTCTATATGTTTTACTGCAACGATTCACAATTCTTGCTTGTGTGGCCAAGAAGTCGCATGGCCTTATAGTGAACTGTGCTATCTATACCTGCTTTGTTAAAACGCTTATTCCAGTCTTCAATTCATTCCTAATGGTTTACCTTGAAATCAAAACAAAATGGCCCACTGTTTTCAGTAGTCTGTGCTTCAAATGTAACCAGCTGACAACTAATAGTTTTCCAGCCTGATGAAAGGGACATTTTTTGTACTAGGAACCGTGCGTCGGCAGTTTAAAAGTGGACCAACAACTGCAGTTTAGTTAGGCTCCTAAACTTATCGAGTGATTATTGTCAAGCAAGGATATCGCCTCCAAGCCACCGGCAACAGTAACTGCATTACTAAAATGTCAACTTACCTTAATGGTTGTTTTAAAAGCCTCTACTAGTCCTTTAACAGGTCGAATAATTTCACCTTTCTCTGTGTCAACTTTCTGAAGGTGAACGCTCGTGCTATCCATCTCTGGTTGGAGATTTTTCATTTTGACAGCTACGTCTTTCAGGATGTTGATCCCCTTTTCAAAGGCATTTTGTTGTGAAATTCGGTTAGAATAATCCGTCAGTTCAGAAATAAGCTTTTCAATAGGTGCAGGATTCAGCAGGTTTGAATTCGTTGAGTTGATGAGTGTCTTAAAGAAAGAACGCACGGAGGGTTAGCTTAAACTAACGAGAATCGGCAACGACTGCCAAACTATAGGAGCTCACTGAGTCAACATCAATCAAAGGCGCTGCTTCAAAAATGACTTATTTTCGCAGAATATATTCAAACTTAAACACTGTTATGCCATCTGAAGTGAATTTAGTTACCAATGGCAATATTAAAAGTTAAACTTACTGTTAGATTAAGATCCTTAATTGCCTTCTCGAGATCAGTTTGTGCTTTCTCTAATTCACTTTCGCTGGGCAGTTTTGACGAAATCTTAAGCTTTTTTACCTCATCACTAACAGTTCTAAAAAAGAGAATGCAAACCATCGTCTCAAAATTTTACGGATCGTTAACGTACCACCTTCTAGAGCGATCTGAGCAAAATTGCGTGGGGGCATATGCATCATCTAACTACGCATCCTCTTCCAAGCATGTTTCAACAGTCTAACGTGTGTACGCAACCCTCATGGTTACACAAGTTTAAAAGTAACAAGGCGACGATGATAATGTCGAGTCTTGAAGAATTGCTGTGTAATCGGACTCGTTAAGGGTCAATATAAGTCTGTTTGTAAACACGGTCAACATACATGCACGTTCAATCGCTGTACCGATAAATGCATGAAGATGCTTAGATACTGCAAGTTATCACCATCGCAAAGAATGTTTTCCATGTGGAACGAGGATGAAGAACGTACTTCTTTCCTTCCTTAATTCCCTCCTGCACTTGTGGGCTTTTGACCAACTTCGAGACATCCACCAGGTTGGTGTATCCCACAGCAGACAGAAGGCCACGTCGGGATGACTGCATTGTGCTGCCACGACAGCTCTGGGTGAGGGCGTGGAGCACGTGTTTGGGAGGTGGGGTGTTGAGGAAGTCGTTGGCTCCTCCAACCGACCCACCGACAAGTGACGACCATCGCCGAGCCAACAATCCGTCCACCACGAAGTCAGTCTTGTTCACACCTGTTTCCCGTGTGACGTAGATGCAGGCTTCGCCTTTAACGGAAGGCAATTCAAAATGGATTGTAATTTGTCTTCTCACGAAGCTAATTGTCCTCACGTTGTCTGCGGTGTGACTATGCCGCTGATCTGTGAGTGAGGACTGAGGTGCACACAATTTGAGAAGTCAATTGCAGAATCAATGGCATTGACTTAAATGCTGCTAATTCTAGCCCTAAAGATAAGTATTAGATTTTCCCCCTTACTAAATCCTTAAAGCGCAATACATTTTACTCATATTGTCATTTTATCAATGAGCACTCTTAGGAACCAAGATCTCAAGGGATTAACAGAGAAAATTTGAACGTTCAAAGAGTCGTAAACAAACCTGATACCGTTGTCAAGGCAAATAGCAGAACTGCAATAATGGCGGCGAAGATGAGCAGGATTGGGATAAAAATCACCGAACAGCAGCACACCGACCCCTTTCCGCAGACAATCTTGTCCCACTTATTGCCAGGTGTATCTGTAACCGATAAGAGCAATGCTTTACAAACTGCCAAGATGAAACCGTGTAAGATTGTCATGGTCAAATTACTATTGAATGATTTCTCTAATGGTCCACAGTTATGTCTAGAGGAAGTCTCATGCTAGTAGATGCTGCCGGGATGAGTGAACACCAAATTCACTCACATGTGAGCACGGTGTCAGCGCCAGCGTAGAGTCGATCTCGAAAAGCGCGGTAAAGAAGTCGCGCAGCAATGAGGGCTGCGATGACCAACATGACTATGAAGAACCCTCCGATTACGTAGAAGCCGATGCGAATATATCCCGAGTATTGTGAAAGTCCGTTGTCCACAGAGGTGGAGAGGTCTTCCAGATTCTTGGTCACACCACCAACCTGTGCACTGGTGTCATCCCAAAACTTGTTGATCGAACTGAGCACCGTTTTGAGGTCAAGTTTTTCCTCTATCGAATCAACCATTTTGCTTGTTGACGCTTTAATATCCTTGATTGCTTTATTGACATCTGCCAATTTCTTTTCTAAATCTGCCACCGTCTTTTGTAATTCTGTGGTAAATTGATTTGTTACTGATGTGTCAATTGCACTGAGATCGATTGGACAATATAAATTTTCTGTTGCTGTCTACAAGGAAACAAGTAACAGGTTCGTCTGGAGAATAAATACTATAATAAACGTCTACTTGATCACCGACTGAGTCCTTTATTTGCTACATCCACGTAATTAAATCAACGTTTTTAATAGTCGTGACCAGATAATTTGTTCACTATTTAACATGTTTTTATCTATAAGGTTTAGAATCGGACTAACAAGTGGTTTGCATCTTCGTTAAATGATGAAGATGGCAACTCACTTTTAATTTTTGGCATTCCTGATCGCAATTTGTAACAGTCCGAAATGCATTCTTAAATTCATCACGCGCTTCATCCATCTTCTTGCAAAGAGCGGCAACGCCACCCTTCAAAGCGTTGATTGAATCACTCGCATCGGTCACATACATAGAAAACGTTTTCAAAGCTTTAACAGTTTCCCCTCCTTTTGCCAAAACATTCGCAACACTCAAGTAAAGCAGCAGATTGTCAATAGTTCCAGAGAGTCCGGATGAAATTTCTGCCTAAAATACACACCAAACAGTCAGCCAAAAGGTCATAAAGCTGAATCGCGTGGGAAATTAACAACTGCAACCGTGATCAGTTTTCGTCATACCAGGGGAACCTTATGGCGCAATGCGATTGGACATAGCAAACCTAAATTAATGACAACGTCGTTATGTGGTTAGGTGAATTAGATTGTCGCTTGTAAGTCCCAACGTCACGACTTATTCACAAGACTCGTGCCAGCCAAAAAACCCGACTATGGTTTGGAAGGTTCATTATTGAAATCCAAACTAACTGTTGCCTTACATTTGTATTTTTGATGAAATCGGTGAGAGAATTATCGGTCAGTGTGCGTCCGGATTCAATGCCTGTTTTCATAAACTGTGTCACGTGTGTCGTGAGTGCCTGCAGTCCATTTTGGATGGAACTCGTCTCCTCTGCGCTCCCGTTGTGGGCTTCCAGGTAGCTCATCAACACACCGATGCTGCTGAAGTAGACGAATATGAGGATGATGCAGGCTGCCAGGAAGGCCACCGCGAGTACCAGGACGGCGAGGTACGCGATGCGACACACCAGTTGCTTGTGTCCCACTCTACTTCGTAACGCAGCCACTTGCAAGGGATTCATTGATCCATACACCTGAAATTTAGTATCAAAGTACAACTAACGAACAGTTACTTGCCACCTGGTGACTGTAACTGAATTGGAAATTGTGCAAAGAGTTGAAATGCTGTCAGGCTTCATGATTGAGTCTACTTTGCCAGGGAGGAGTTTGATTCGAAGGCATTTTGATCGAATAACGTCCAGTATATGAGCACTTCTGCATGAAGCAGTTCTACGAGTTTTGTTAATAAAGTGACTTAAAATAGCATGGGGCGGTGCAATTTAAAAAAAAACGCTTGAATGGCGCTAACGTACCCCTGTTTCCCCACCACTGCAGCAGCAGCAACAACAGTTGATCACTTGGATCGCGATAATCAAGAAAACGATGAGCACGTAGAGTGCGACTGTGGTCCAGAAGATGTTGGGCTCGCGGTTGGGGTGGGCGTGGGCGTTGGCCACACCAGACGCCCCACCTCCCAGACTCTCGGGCATTGCCTCTAGCACGGGCAAGGAAATCGGTTTCAATAACAGCGCTGACATGACGTAATCAATATTCGATTGCATCAGGTCGTCTGACACGTCAAATTCCACGGTGCCAGGTGTCGAGGTTGGCACAACTTTGAAAACGGTATTGAGGACACCACCGTTCTCCACCTGAACGGCCCACACCATAATTGCTGCCACCACCGACGTCAGCGTCACTTCAAGTGCCATTTTGTTGTCTGGAAGGAAGAAAAGTTGGTCAGTGCACATTTCAGTCATCCACCGAGTAACAGTATCAAAGAACACAATTTAGACGAACTGAAAGACCATCTGTTAGGTAACGTAATCCTTTAGAAAATAATCGTGAAATATTCTACGTAAGCAATCTTCATTTTAAGTGGTTAAACGACCAAACAATTGTGAAGATAAAAAACATAGTGAATACGCATTTACCGAGACTTGTTGATTCTCATGAAAATGCTGGGTTATTCCTTCCAATTTATAGGCAAAGTAGGTTCCATCTACTGGTGCACACATGCATCACTGAAACCTGATTGGTTTAACGTGTTTTACTCCAAAATCACAGCAACTGACCTCAACGGAAATTTACCAGTGTCAAGCGCTTTTGCAAAATGTGCTTGAACACGATAATCAAATTAAGTGAAAGTGCAGTGCTCTCACTGGCGACAACAATCTTGACCATCGATCCACCTAAAAAGGCACTACTCTCTCACAGTAGAATAAGATGCTTCTGGCCGGCAACACGAATTGATTTCAAAACAGCATTTGAACTGGATCCAATCACATCGTTTGTCGTCTACCTGGTTGCCAATGCCAACACCCAAAAAGTTTGTGTTGGTGAAGAAGATGTGGGAGGGACAGGCAACGTCTCAAGTTGTGCTACTTCGCCATCCTCGTCAGACAGTGATTGGTTTCTGGGGAGACCGTGAGGATAGCGGTCACCACTGCGAGTCGCCCATGCACAATCAGACAATCGACAGGCACTCCTACGGTGTGATGAAGGCATTGACGATGGTCTTCAGTGCACAACAAACTTGCTGAGATTTTGAGATCAGTAAATGAGGTGAACGCTTCAATGCTATTTCTACCGATGACAGCTATCATGGAGTGACATGACAATCTTCTAAAAACGCCAATAATCTCGTGATTCGCAGCACAACATCACCCAAGACAATACCGGGAGGTTGAGATTGTTCATGAAATCCACGCCTTCATTTGCATTGATTCTTGTATAATCTTGGAACTTTATCTACCAAGTCTTAGATTAGATCTACCAAGTAACAGACACAATTTCGCCGTTTCATGCTTAAGCTGTCCGTGACTCGTCGTTCACCTAACAATTTGTCTGTGACATATGCACACATAATAAGCGTCTTATTCCACGCACGAGACGCTGAATTGGAGTCAAATATTTGCCATTGACTAGCAAAACTATTGAATCACGAGCACGTCCCCAAATCGAAATGCAACCGTTTGAATCTGTCAGTTTAGTCGTGGCTTCCTTCGAGCATGGCATCTTGAAGAAGGCAGGTCTGGGTGCATTAGAACAGGGATTACTGGCGTCGTCTGCCAAAATATCAATTTTTGCTGGATTCCCATGTTAGAGAAAACAGTTTGAAGCAAGCTAATACATTGTGTATCGCCAATAACTTTGCATGTCACACAACCAGTTAGGGGTTTGAAGGCGTCTGCATTAGTGAGGTGTCCGCACCGGTCCACCCAGTTCACACCAGACACTCGTTTGGATGATCAACGGCAAAAATCGATAACAGTTGTGAGCTAGACTACGACTGCATGTAGTTCTTCAAGCACCATGGCAATACTAACACCTCGCGCAAATCAAGCCACCTCGCGCTATACGGCCGCCAAAGTGTTGAGAATTACAACGGTCGGGCACGCCTACGTTTGAGAAGCAGGCTCTCTCTCTCCCTCTAATGAACGCGCCCAACACGACATACACGCGTGTGTAAATTAACGCATCGATCGCACCAGCCCAACGACCGCCCTGATTGGCTCCGGCCGCCTGTCTGTCCGCGCAACTGCGTTGTCAAGGCGCAAAGCGCCAGCATTCGTGTGTGTGTGTGTGTGTCCGCGTGCGCGCGTATGATTACAACGCGTGCGCACACAAGCGCGGCCGTATTTGCTGCTAGTTGCCGTGCCTATTTTTAGCCCTCTTTGCCACCCCCTCCGTTTCTTCGCCGACTAACTGCTCGACACTCGCTCCTCTGGCCTGCAGGAAGAAGGTGTTCTGCTTTACAGTTACACAGCTTGGGATTTTATACGCTTACTCGGGGCAGGTATGTGATATTACCCTTCTTTTTACCTCCTCTGTGGTGAGACCTCCCAGAGGCTCTTGTCTCGTTTTTTTTAACGTTACTTCACGTAATCTTTTTGAAATGACAAGTCCTCTTGCTTCTTGTGCCGATACGATAGCCGCATGCCTCGTTTACAGTCACTGTGTTTTTTTAATACTCACTTTCCTTGTATTTTACTGTCATCTGACCGTGTAGACAATGGTTTACTCGTTGATTGTGTTTCTTGTGACCACACGAGCGACCGATTTCTAGCTCCTATCAGCCTCATTGGTTCAAATTAGGAAGGCTAGTAAATCTTCAATTAAAGTGCACCAGTCATGTGAGTTTCTGGGCTTACTTGTGAGTACTTCTTGACTAATTCCATAATTTGGGAAGGTTACGTGCTGTCGGTTAGTTGATGTGCATCTCACCTATCCAATAAGTAAAATGAAAACTGTTTAAGAACCGTGATGAACCGTGGTTCGTTCTCCAAGGACTTTATACGTGAATTATCGATTTCAAATCCCCGGTTCATACTTAAAAGTTTTTTTTTTGAGAAATCTCGGGCCTTGCAAAGATCAACATCGAATGTTTTCTTCCTAAGCAGATAATTTTACGGGCAATTTTGTGACCTGCGAGCGGTCGTTCTGCAATCATTTTGGCAGCTTTAGAGAAAACCTGTTTTGTTTGAGAAGATCAAATTTTTAATTTACGCGAAAATTTGGCTAAATTCAATTCACTTCACACGATTTGCATCACATTCCTCAAACTCGGTACAATTTATGGCAAAAATCGTGCGAAATCTGAGAAGTTAATCTGTGCTGAGTCACTCACTAATTAATACAAAGTGTTTTTGAAAGGTGGGTGATCTACTTCAACTTCGTCTCCAAGTTATTCAGTCACGGGACATCTTGACGTAAATTCTAAAGTTTATTTGAATTTAAATGGCTCTAATCACATCCAGGAAAACTCTTTTTCTTATTAAAAAAATTTAAAGTGATTTTTGAGGTATAAAATCTCCTTATTTTGACTTCCGTCACCGAAAATTGTGTTTGAAATTCAAAATCGCGCCAAACTATAGGTGAGAGGCTAACAACTTTAAAACAAAAACTGCGCTATCTGCGCATGTCAGTCACCACGAGTTCTTGACACACTTAGGTGTCGTGCAGTATTCTATGCCAGTCTTATTTTGATGCCTTATGCCCTTTACTCCTCTTAGCTGGTGTTTAATGTGAAATACTGGTATTGTGTGCGCTGTCTCAGTCGGTGATGCGCACTCCCTTGGGGTATGGTAATCGCCAAACTGTTTCATCAAATGCCATCTTATTACATCAACTCGAAGACGCAGCTGTTTGATTTCGCATTGCGCTACGAAACTAGTTTAGTGTTCTTGACTGCCCACGCGTTGCCCACATGAACCCTAGTGTTCAGGTAGCTGTAGTCACTTGCGGAATTGGCCTCTGAAGCCGGCTCCTCCTGTCTCCCAAGGAGACCTGCTTCTAGGGTGTTACGGGGTCTTTGCCATAAGCTGGATCATGTTCCAACCAAGCAACTCCTCAAACACATCCTTACAAAACGCGGAAGGCCCGAATCAATTAATTGTACGCAATTTACTATGTACTGAGCAATAGCATCAGACTTGTGAGCACTTAGCACTGAATCTTCCGTGTCTCGTTCGGGCACTTCTCCAGCATGTTTACCTGCCTAAAATCCATTACTTCCCGTGGAAGGTTCCGGTTGATGCCTTTCTTCCCGGTATCATGTAAATCCCTCATGCAACTAACAACTAACATTGTGTCCACCAATTGTACCTTCATGGTCAGTTGCACTTTTGGTGGCTGTGCGGGCTGCCGGACGAATCGGTGGGAGGCTTTGTGAACGAGATGTGGCCACTTTTTACATTCTCCCTCGCCGTCCCACATCACAGATATCTGACAAACCGTTTCCAGAATGCAGTGCTATGAAAGAAGTGACGTAATATGCAGTTTGATTCATTTTTCCGACATGCATTTATTGCCTGTCAAATTGACGAGTCCATGGAATGCGGACTGATTAGGAATTTTAGGTTTAATTTGAGCAAACCAGGTCACCCACAACGAAGATTAGGGCCGGGATAAGTTATGCCATCTGGTGTAATCATGCTCTGCTGAAAACTCGAGGTACACAGGAATCGTAGACATGATTTTTACTCAATTAGTCTCTGGACTTGACTATCCCTCGTACTCTGTGTACTTTGGCGTACTGAGCGAAAAATAAGCTGTAGATGAATAAGCCTATCGAACTGCTTGTGCAGGCAAGGTTTGAGTCTAACCAATGGGAGGCAGCCTCTCGTGATGACCTAACTTGGAGGATCATTAAAAACTGAAATAACTGAGTCTGGAGTTCCAGGCTTTTCAACGCCTGTCCATCCAAGTTGGTTTAAGGCTTGTGGTGTGGGGAGCAGTGCTAGTGCCACTTTCGGGAGACCTCTCTGGAATCTGATCCCACATGCTTATCTGCGGGTAAATTTAGCCGTTGATGGTCTGACAAGTGAAGTAGCGCAGCAACGCCCTAGTCTAGTCGAAGTTAAGTCTACAAGTCACCTGGTGCACCTACTTGACGCCGATTTGAAGAAAAAGAAGGTGTGTGCTTGTGTGTGTGTGTGTTTAACTTATCACCTACGCGCCTTGGCAACAAGCCTCTGGCTGCGTTGCCTGCGCAGAAGCGCGCTGTCGCGTTTTACCCGGGGCTGAGACGGGATCGATCGATGCCTGCCCGTGTGACCGCTCCTCTCCCAACGTTTTGACGCGCGCGTGCGTACGTGCGTCCGTTCGGCCACCGCTGTGTTCAAAACCCATCGGCTGGCCACGTAGCTGTTATAAAACAAACAGGCAAACGTTATTCGCAGTACCGGTGCCAATGCTCCACACGGTAGACTACTCACCACTCAAGTGATGTTGAGCACGTGTGCGAATCGCCTCGCCAATTTCTTGTGCTGTTACTAATGGCAACAGCCAACACCTCGGCCCTCCAGTCTTGTGACTTGGTGGTCTTCAGTTTAGAAAGTGCTCGTTTTAAAATGCTTCAAGTTTAAACACAGGTTTGCCGATTTTGTAGGGGTAGAAGCGATCGTGTTCCTCATTTTTCGCTTCAAGTGAAGCCTCCTTACAAAGATCCATCGTTTTGTTATTCATTATCTTCAAAAATTATTGACTTAGATTGTCGATTCCATGTTATAATGTAGTCACCAAAACATTTTCTGCACAAACGTAACGTCATATGTCGGATAGTACCTGTTTTGGATGCGATGCAGGCTCTATAGTCAGGTTATGCCTTGTTTTTAACTGGGTGAAAATTATTTTTGATTTTTCAAAGCAGACGTCAAGTGACCTAATGCTAATTTACTTCTTGACCCAAGGTTGCACACACACACACACACCCATCTTGTTGCATTGGCTCTTCAGGCTAATTTATTTTTTTTTCAAATTTCGCGTCATGCGAAGTCTCCTTACGAGGATTCGTCGCTTCGTTATTCTCTCCATCCAACAGTTATTGATCGGGATTGTCGATTCCTAGTTAGGTTCTACTCACCCAATCCCTTTTTTTTTACACAAACGCAACGTCATGATTATTTTTTATTGGATGCTATTTGGTGTCGAGAAACTGCTAGTACACTCTGCTACCAAGCCGCTTGACTCTCTTTTTCAGGCTTTTTAAACGGGGTGAAAATTATTCTTGAGTTCTCAAAGCAGACTTCAAGTGACTTGGTGCACGTGAGCCATCAACAACTGGAATATGGTTCTACACTTGACGAAATGTGCTATTCCAATGCCAATAAATATACACCTGACGGGGCGTGGTTTTACAAAAAGGCTGTGTATTTGGTGACAACCTGAAACTTAGTCCTAATTTACTTCAACTTCTTGATTCATTGTTGCACACAATGGCTCATTTAACCTTAACTTTCTGACCTCTACAATTGCGAAATCATCACTATTTTTTGATGAAGTACGGCTTTGCACAACTCGTCAGCATTCCGCGCTGTCAGAAGTCAACTAAGAAGGCATTTTCAATCTCTACACTCTACCGTTTCTGTTGCAGCAGCGTAACCATGTCGACACTGAACCAACAACGAAAAGTAGTGGAACAACTGCGCCTAGAGGCTGGGATTCACCGTCGTCCTGTGTCTGAGTGCATTCGCGACATGATTGGCTTCATCGAGCAGTACCGCGACAAGGACTGTCTGGTGAACGGGTTCGCTTCGAAGAAGGACAATCCATTCCAGGAAAAAGGCGGCTGCCAAATGCTCTAATGAGGCGCGCATCGTCACAGATGAACCACTTAAACCAACAGCGAAACCCCACTCCCCTCCGCGTCCCCCTACTACTACTTCTTCTTCCTCTTCCTCTTCTCCTTCTTTGACTTCTCTGTGTATAAAGAAACTAAATGGGCGGTCGAGGACGTTTGTGTACATAGTGATCTTGTTACTCACTGCCACTGGTAACTTCATGCATCATGCGTTCCTTTTTCTCCGTTGATGGCACCCATTCCCCGCGCCCACTTCTCTGCTACACATTACTTGCATAAACGCAAACCAAAACTGCGAATTCTTGGTTTGTAGGTAATTCTACTTCGAGGCGTTGCCAGAAAAATTGCCAAAAGCGCAATACTAAAGGCGAGTCTGGCGCAAAAGCTGGATGTCACTGGCACTCAGCCGAAGTATTTTGTCTCAGCGCCGGTGGCTGTGATACCAGGGGCGTCTGGCGTCCATCTACGACGCTTGTGTGTTATGTCGCAAAATCCTAGGTTTCGACCTCGTAGAAGAACTGATCAGCCGTGTAGTGGGCTTCTCGTGTTCGATCTTCGCCCCTTGTCAGAAGCAGCTGTGCCCAAAGGAGGGTCTTTGGGACCATTCGCATGCTCAATCCCGAAGCGTTTGACTGGTCATATTGCTGGAAGGAATAGCAAGAACGGACTCTAACAGACAAAATGGATCTCTGAATCAGAGTTGGGATCCTATCCAGGAAGTTGCGAGTCACGCGTTTTCGCGTCCTCGGTGCATTTGCCACTTGAAGCGACTGCCGCAACGCGACTAAAGCAGCTTATGGCGATGCCATCTTTATTCACAGCGACCTCGTTGACATTTTGAAGCAGTAAACTTTCGGGTCAGTGAGTTTGACGAAGCTGGCCAGCGTGTAGCGCCCCGGTCTCGTTGAAGCACAGCAAACTAGCTAATATGAAACGGATGGACACTGTTGTGGGCCCCAGCATATGGTCTTGAGCCGCGGAACTAGTCCTGGCCCGATTACGTCTCCCTGATACCCGCGATAAAGAAAAAGACCGGAGAGGACGTGGGCACAACCGTTTACTTCAGAGCTCAACCACGTTGGTGTCGTGTGTATTTATGCCTCAGATGTGTGAGTCATACATGCGCTAACATCGAGACCTAGGTGTGAGAATAATCCAAGATGAATATCCGTGTGAATGAGGAGGGAGTTGAGGCTCCGCGCGGTTGGCGACATGCTACGAATAGGGGAACCCTGTGTCGGTGTGAAATGGTGAATCCGAGTCTCAGACAGTATAGTCGACCAACTCCACCAATCTCAAAAGACAAGGTGTTAATTCAGACAACTTTGTTGATTTCTACATTCGTTGGAATAGTACAGGGGCCATTGAAAAATAGACTAACTTCAGGTAGTCACGCTCAGAAAAAACAGTAACCTTGGGAGTTGGTCAATTAGTGACCTAGCAACGCGGCTCTGTTGGGGACACGCCCTTGGTGGGTAAATAGGACCAAATCCGTCCAATTTCGCGTCAGTGGCACCAGGCAGGCACATGAAGCAGATTAATTTAAGGACTTCCTGCGTGTCCGCCGCCTTGAGGCACTAATCCGGTATGGGCCAGAGTTGATTATTAAGTATCGCCTTACCCTCCAATTGACAGTGGTTTTGCACTATAATTGGAAGTCGTGACAACCACAGCCTGCGTCATTTCGCACCTTGAATTTGTCTTGTTTGAGTTTCCTGTTAGTGCATCAACTGGGTGACCAGTTGTCGCGGTTCTATGTCCCATCCCCAGATCCCTTGATTGCGTGGCGAGCAGCAAGTGAACGCCATTAGCAAACATGAGCGAACATGATGCAATTGGTCTACGTGAAAGCGTTTCACGTGTGTAGCCATGCAATGGAAACTGACTTGCACATCAACAAATAAGCCGAACTACTCGCCAATTGCATTTGTTCGCTTCCTTCGGTCGGGTCGTGTTAGGGCAGATCGTTGGCCCCGGTGTGGCTTCCTAACCGCACTGGGGCGCTTCAATAATTTGTCTAGGTTAATTTCAATCTCAGTAGTTGGTGTTCCTCTTTCAAAACACATCCTACCTTCAGCAAAATTTAGTCTAACCACGCGTGTTAAATGACCCTTACATTGTTGAGTCAAGCTGTTTACTATCGCTGACAGAAATGGTAAGTTGATATTGATTTAACGCCAACAAGGAACCATTTACGGCCTTCAAATGGAAAAAAGAACGGATGATGTCAGTTTTCTTGTTCAAAGCACACTTTAGTGCCCTAGGAGCGCCTGGAAAGCATGCGGAGTCACGAATTAAGAGGTACGTTATCAGATTAAGTGTTTCGTTGGATCTTGGAGCTTGTCCTCTCAGGTTACTGGAATTTTAGATAATCCGCAATGCTAAATCAGGGAATTGTGAAGACCCCCGACCTTTCCCGAGTCACTATCAAATAGCGTGAGGTGACGAATAATAAATATTTGTGGCTTGACTGCATACAGGCTGTAGACGTGTACACGTGGAGTGAACAGACAGTGATTGTTGATGGTTCAAATCAGTTAAGTTTGAATGACAGCTTAGGCAAGATGTAATTATGCAGTTGTGGGTGTAGTACTGCAGTAGAAGCGTAGGCGGAAGTCATTTAACGAAAAGACTACATTTTGGCATTGAATTTGATTCTGCCGACTGCCAAGTGTTGAACGACATGCTGTGGTTCAACACGTGGGTCTGCGACATCAACAGTTAATAATGAACCCGAATATGTGATTAGCAAAAGTGCCGTCATGTAAGGGTGATAAGCCTGAATTAACACAAATCACTCCTAAACTAAATTGCTTTGCCTGACCCGTCAAAGCTAAGCAGCTTTAGATGGCGTGTTTGGCTTTAGATCACGCCAACTATTCACACGACATCCATTGCGTAAGTGTGGATACTTGAGAGAAGGCTTAACTTGATTAACGTCGAGTGTGGCATGATAATCGCTCTTGAGCTTGCTTCAATGGACCTTCCTCGGAGTGATCACGTGACTTGACAGTTCACATTCTACACTTTGAACATCGAAACTACCGACTGACTACTCTCAGTTTTTAACCGAATCTTATTGCCCCTTTCACGGTGATCATCGGGCCACACGCTGAAGTTCAACACGTGGGTTTACTTCGATTAAGTTTGGTTGAACACATTTAATTGGCCTCGTCGATTGCGTGCAAGCTAATAACACACTTTTAACTAGCTCCTGGAGATGTGCGATAGCAGAAAAAGCCATGCGTTTTAGACCGAACGCAACCAGTTGTTGAAAAGTTAATTATTTTGCTACTTGTGGTTTACCTTTAATCAGTTCTAATGGGAACTTTTTTTATTTTACTAACTTTTGGGATGAGAACAAACGAGGACGGGATAGCAGTTTGAAAATGTGAAATATTCGTGGAAACTGATGGCTATCCACGAGCCAAACGCACGGTGAGTTGGCTTAATCTGCGTGTGCTGCTCATCGTGACTTGGTGCTTGAAGAATCACACGTAGTGATGGGTCTTTGAAGCCTGGCTCGCGCAAGAGGTACACTCGTGGCTCAGCGTCTATTTCTGTGATTTAATTAGCTAATAGCCTTTATTGCTGGCTTAGGTCAGTGGCTTCGCTAACTAGATCATCCCTGCATTTCACAAAACCGAAAAGGACTTGATGGTGGGTCGTAAATGATCATCCCTTTGGGCAGAGACATAAACGCACTTGAAGGGAATGCGGGCGTTTCAAGATGCAAAGCTCAGAAGTGGTAATTATCGTTTGAAGACGCACTCTGAAGCACACCAGAAATACGGTTTGGTGAATGTATAATACGAACAAAAAGTGTCAAGCAAAACAGTTTTGTTAATTTATGTGTTTCCTGGAGAACCATAAAGAAGTTCTCCTCTTTCACGTGTGCGTCGCGCCAGGTGATTCCAACTTTTCAACCAATTGGGCAAACCCATTTCCTGCACATCTCGACGAGGAAAGGCTGGCAGCCTGTTGATTGGATCAGAGTGTCAGGCACAACTGTCATCGATTTTTCCGTTGATCATCAAAACGAGTGTCTGGTGTGAACTGGGTGGACCGGTGCGAACACCTCACTAATGCAGACGCCTTCAAACCCCTAACTGGTTGTGTGACATGCAAAGTTATTGGCGATACACATTGTTTTAGCTTGCTTCAAACTGTTTTCACTAACATGGGAATCCAGCAAAAACTGATATTTTGGCAGACGACGCCAGTAATCCCTGTTCTAATGCACCCAGACCTGCCTTCTTCAAGATGCCATGCTCGAAGG